ACTTTTGTCTTGCCAAGCTATGAGTAAGCTGAAATGTTAATACCATGAGAGCAGTAATACTGGATTTGAGTTCGTTCCATTGTTACTTCAACGCTTCACAATATACGGCTCATCACTCGACTACTATTCCCACAATAAGAAGATATACCAGACTGTCACTAGACACTGTCACTAATTATATAGTTACTTCACATGACCACCAAACTGCTATATTTTGACCAGGTAACATCTACCATTAGACGCCCAGTGATATCACCTTTAGCCTACGTTAAAGTCAAATGGTTAGTTTTCAAAAACGGAGGACTTCATCGTCGTATGCTCACCTTTTCAAAAAAAATGGATACTGAACAAACAATACTCATTTTGATAACTTCATAATCAGGTTCTACAGTTATAAATACATTATAGTGAATGAATAAATTAGTGTTATGAACAACATTAATGTCGTTGTTTAAATAACATCGAATCAATAATAATAATATCAATGGATTACAGTTCAGTAGCATCAACATAACAATAAACTGAATGTCAGCAAAATTAGGAAAGATAATATTACAAATTCATGAATTTATAGTCTCCACTGAAGGCCGGACAGAGCACTAGTAGGGGCTGGACTTGCTTCCTTTGTACACAGAGCACTGGTTATTTGAGGCGAATTGCAATAGCCTCTGCAGTTTGGAGCACGTGGTGCTCACCTTTTATCAGCCAAACCAAGCAGTGTTCAGCTATGCGTCTCCAGAGAATAAACTAACGACGTCCAATGTGATCAGAACCACAGCAGCTTGTAAAAGAGTAGGTACAGTACACACGGTGGTGAACAAAAGCAGTAGTTTACCCTTCATGTATTGTCGAGTCATAATTTGGCTGGAGAATATTCTGTGTTTGTCAGCGGCGTAAAAAGAGCGTTTGATACACTTGGACAGGCGACTTTTAGTTACCTCAGTAGTGATATCGCCTTTAAATACCATAGTAATAAACGGTGTCTTCTTTGGTACTTTGATTTGGCTAGGAGCGGTTTCTTCCTACATGTTTTACCCAATAAACCTTCCAGGAAATCGATTGTATAACAGTGTCATATAAAGATTTCCCACTTCTTTCTGGGGAATAGAGAATAGATAAGATTTATCTTTCTACCTAGAGATATCCAGCTGTTGAAGTTAGTTTAGTGTCCTGCAAAGGTTGGTTTTCGGTTGAACAACCTTTTCATTATACAATCCTCTCTTCTATCTGCCGCAACATCTTATAAGTAAAATGTGGAATTTGACTCTTCTCTGATAGGAGTTCAACAGTCGGACAGTTACCATCGCAAATAATAAAAGTGCCATCAATATATCTCTCATACATATTCAGACACAAGGTCATTCCTTTCAATAGACTATTCTCTAAGCTCTCTATGAAGACATCCTCTAGGAGGGATCCCAAAGGAGACATCACAGCAACTTCGTCCTTTTTATCATAGATGACACCATCAAATCTAAACTGCACATTAAACGTGCTTCCCAATAATAGCTCCTTTAGATAGTTAGTTTACATTCCGATTTTTCGACAACCGAGAATAAATGATCACAATATAGGCCATATTGATTACAGGTGAAGTTCACAGATAAGAGGTAGGAGGATGGTGTGAGAATATGGGGTGAGAAAAAAGGAGGGCAAAAATATTATTAAGTGAATTGGACTTTGGCTCTACAATTGGTTTACCAAGGCAAGTTCAGAATAGTAACATAATTTTTGAACACATAAAACAGGTTCAAGCTTTTTCATGGCTGAGGCTTCAACGAATTTGAATATGTGACCCAAACTTGCTTTATATATACATTTAAAGGTATTATTGAAATCAAACTTGTGACTTGTCTGTATGATGTGCTTTGCGATAGATGATGTTGGGCATCTGTTTCCAGGACTATTTGTATCCGGTGATGTCATTTGTTGTTGCGGCCACTTTGGTATATATTTTGTAGCCATGACCTTCTGAGACCAATGAGTCCTCCCTAAGTACGTGTGGCGTTACATACGTGTAAATTGGTAAACACAGTGGGATGTGATACTATCATTTGGATGCTATGAAGGTTTGCTGGACAAAATAGATCTTGCCTTCTCTATGAAAATAAGTTTAGCTGCACAGTAAGTTCTGCTTACTGTCGCCCTGAGTCTTTGTTTACTGATCAGACTTTGTTGATCACCCTTGAACAGTAAGGATGTATAAACGTCCTTTTTTCAGGAGCTGATTGGATTGGTGGAGCCCTTCTTTTGACACTTGAGTAGAGCTTAACGAATTTCAATGGACAGTTGTTACCTAACAATATTTTACTGAGGTTTGGCGCTTTTTATACTGGAGTGGATAAAAACTAAGATAATTTAGATAATGTCCCGTCTAGGTCTGCAGATCAAGTCTCATTCTGTCCTAAAAGTTTAATTAGTTTGCTTATTCTTAACGTGGTGTTTTTTATTTTAATTGATTTACCGTGTAACTTGATTTTCCCTTCTCCATCTCCCTTCCTCTCTATCGCCACAACTTTTAAAATAAAGACGATCGACTATTGTGAATTCAAGAAGAATATCCAGGTAGTCTTTAACGTTGATGTTCTTGATGTTGTTGATAGTGATGATGTATGTGGTTATTGTTGGTGTTGTTATAAAATTTTATTCACCCGCGCACACACACATACATCCATGCACACAACTATGAATGCACTTTTTATCCTTTATTTAGCTAACATTTTAAACCAACACGTACATTATACCTTATTTAGCACTCATTAACTGGATGTAAACGTATTCTAGGTAATGGTGATGTTTCTGCCGGAACTAAAACCTAAAGTCAATCAATAAAAGTTCAAAGCATGACCCTTTAGGCTACTGAGCCAAGAAAAATGGATATTAAGAGATATTTTGATTGGACACTGGTAACTGGTGTGATGTGTCTAGTCCTTTGTTTGGTGCAGACTGGATTCTATCAGTCAACTTTGCAATATGGTCACCATTCTAGATAGGTCGCCATCACGGTGCACTTTCAGTTGCTGCTGTTAGATGATTAAACACAATCGGTAGGAAGCGTTGTCTGACATGGGTTTCGTGCTAGTTGGTACTCACTAGTCAGCAAGGCGTATCTGCAATCTTGACGGAACTTATGTCCCTTCTGAGAGAGACGTTACCGCTAAGCTATCTGACAGCAACTACTCAAAGTGTACGGTGATGGCAAGCTACCTAGAATGGTGACCATATTGCAAACCTGACCGATAGAATCCAGTCTGTACCAAACAGAGGACTAGACACATCACACTAGTTACTAACATCCAATCAAAGTATCCAATTCAGGCCTACAGGAGGTCAAACAAGAACCCGAATAGCTCAGTGATAACGTCTCTGACTTCAGCTCTGGGTGATGCAGGTTAGAGTCTCAGAGGGGACATGAGTTCCTCCAGGGTTACGGATACGCCTCCTTACTGACTGGTGAGTGCCAACTAGCACGAAACCTAGGATAAGCAGGGCTTCCTGCCAATTGCCTCCAACCATCTAATAGCAACAATTATGAGATGATATTTATTCATCCTTTTGATTCCCCATTGGTAAGTCTGAACTGAATGAATCAGCCTCATTTGCGTTTTGCAGTCACTTGAACAGTTACCCGTATATTGCCTTTATTTTTAGCAAGTAGTCATTTGTTTTGAAGAATCCGGAACAGAAACAGTTTTATTTTATTTGGGACTTGTCATCTGTACATTATTAGACTCCAGGGTTTTGTCATTTGTACATTACTAGACTTCAGGGAATCTTAGGAGTCATAGTAAGACCAAAGGTCAACAAAAATCATTACTTATTAGGCCGCGAAAACCATGACAATCACCTCTTCTTCAATAGGCACATTATGATGTTATCTTTCCGCTGATATTTCTTAGTAGAACGTATACGTTTCTTTTGGTATATCTTCTCCTGGAACGAATGTTTTGAAATGATTTATCCTTATTTTCAGCTCGACATTATTAGAATTACGTGCTGATATCTACCTCATTTGGCATTTATGTAGTCCCCTAGCCCCTCTGGTTTTTAGAAAAATAGTAGCATTAACCGACGAAGCTGTAGAAAATTAAGGATTGCCGGAATTAAACATCACATCATTACATGAAATCCCTTACTCTTGGTTGAAACTGTGTTTACAAGTGAAAGTCCTAGAAATAATAACAGCCACTTGATTGGCCACAGATCTTAAAATTGACTAGAGTGTAGCTAGTGTTGGGAACCAGCTCCTATCGATTTGTTCCCTATCCCCTTTCGTATTATTTCTTATATCCTTTCACTGGTTGTTTGTATTTTGCGTTCTGTTGTGCGGTGAACGAAAGTGAAACATATTTCTTAGAAGCGTATGTGTGTATGCGTTACTCTGTCTGTCTGTCTATCTGTCTGTATGTCTGTTTATCTCTCTCATATAGAAGGAATTTGAATGTTATGCATGTTTTGTACTAAAATTATTGATTGTTGATTCATGTTAATTTCTTTACACTTTTGACAACAGTATTTCACCATTTCTACCCCATCCTTCAAGCCTTCGCTATTCTGTATTGTGACCTTGGTCTTCTCCATCATTGAAGACAACAGTTTGTTGACTTCAGCTACTCTACTACTGAACAAGCTGACATTGCTTTGTAAAATTTTGAGAATCAAATAGCATTGGATAGAGCTATTTTATTCCTAATTTGGGGAGCCTCAGAAGGGCACAATTGTTACCTTGTTGGGGTTTGTGAATTGACGAAAATTATAAATCATGTGTTGTTGAATATGAAGGCGGTACCTGAAATGTAACTTGCTCGCTGTCTTATCGAAATGTCTTGAGTGTTCGTTACTGAAGAGCCCCATACTAGGATGAAACAGCTGTATAGTCCATGTTCGTTGTTTTTATTATTTTTTCATGTGATGTCAGTTCGTCAGGATATCTACTTTGATATTATTCAAATCTACAAGCCCCAGATCTGCATAATTTCATTGATTATAATTTATTTTAGACCTCTTAGTACTGCTTCGATTGATTTATCACAACAAACTCAATTGCCGACATTGTTACAACCTACAACAACATCAATGGCAGTAACCGGTCAGCGTCAATCCAAAACACCCAGTAGTGGTTCAAGCGGTAAAACATCAAAGTGTAAATCACCATCTGGTAAGCAAATAACATAATGTATCTTCACTTCACTTTTTCTCTCATCGAAACTCTGGTTTTTGAGCTCATTGACACTTGTCATCAGGGCGTATATACCATATCGTGTGTACGAATATTCCTTTGGGGATTCGTAGCGGTGTTGTCCAGTAGTGTAGCTAGGGTCATTATGAGTGAACTACACGGGCCCAAACACGAGATTGAAGAAGACTTTTGCTGACTAATACCAACAAATTCGAGGCCTAGATCGAAGTCCTCTTGTTAATTATCTCTGACCAGTTAACATCAGTTGGCAAGTGAACTGCGACGGTGAGTCACCAAACTTGGTGAACACTTTGGGAACTTAACTGATAGAATATATCTTTAGTCGCGAACCAACTTCCATGAAAGTATCATTGAAAGCTAGTGAGTAGTGACCAGCCTTTTCGTTCTTGCTTGAGAGTCTTCACAGTATGCACCCATGACACCACCAGTAGGAATCGCACCCAAGGTCTCTCGGTTATAAAGCGATCTCGTTAACCATTCATCCTCTAGGACGTAACGCGATGGCCCATCAGTTCTAATTTCTGCCAGTTCGCGATATATATATATATATATATATATAGACTCCAATGGTTACGAATTCACAGTAAAATTTCAGGCAACTTCATCCTGCAGTCAGACAGTGGTGAGCACTAAATTTATTTTGAAAAGCCGCTCTGCAGAACAGAATTCAGCCAACACATGATATTCGTTATTCTTCAGTCTTTTTTCCTTTTATAGCAGCTTTGCCAGTTAAATATATATGCTCAATGCTCCTCAAGGAAAAGCCACACTATATACTACTTACGCCAGTTTTCATAAGTAGTGCACACAGCAGTACAGATAATGTGAGAGAAAGCATTCATTATTCGTTCCTCACTTTCCGAGGGGGAAATAAGGATTCAGAAGTATATCTCCACTACTGTCGCTTCTCTGATATCATTTTCAGCTAGCTTCATGACTCCCTACAAGCCTTCATTTCCTGATAACATGATCTCCTCCAAGTCACCCTCGGAAGCCTAATCTGCCGTTTCCGATATGTGTCATACCTGAGGGTCTGGTGTGTAATGTCAGCCAGCGGTCTTCAGAGAGTACTTCCAACCCATCTCCATTTCCTTCTTCATATTTGTTGGTTGGTGAATAAGTTTTTGTCTTTTTCACTGAAATTCCACAGTTGCTTGTCGCTTATCACTTTTAGCTGGCCATCAAATCTTCAGCACTGTGTAAAGGCAGCTGGGATCGAAAAGGCATTTAGTATATTTAGTAGCTAATTCAGCTCCAATTTTTATGTATAACCCTGTCTAACTGAATGAACGCGTAAATTACCGGATATATTTAGGCTTTTAATCTAAAACTTACTAAGTTATTTATGTACTTTGAGAAAAAATTATATCTGAGAGTTAAGTAGTGTGATTTTAACCCATTAAATTTTTGCGGATTTGATTGATCTTAAGTTAGATTAATTTCACAATGAATGAATGAAGAAAAATATTGAGAGTAGTGATCAGTTCATAGGATTGTACAGTTGATGTTTAAAGCACTACAAGTCATACGAAATATGAAATGAGTCAGCACCCATCAAGTCATTCATAACTCAGGTTGACGCATAAATACTGATGACAAAGGATCTTGTTTAGTTTAGGAGGTGTGACCTTAATGACAACATATAGACATTATTTATTAATTAGTAGGAATCGTAGATTGTCTGCCTGGTAGTCGATAAGTGCGGTTTTAATTCCCTACCAACCGACCAACGTACCCCTAAATCTCGGCCATTTTACTACCCGATAGTAATCTAGGAAAGGGGGGGGACGCGGAGATTTGGTATGAGGTATGGTAGCAAACCCAATCCATTTTAAAAACAACATCACCACTGTTGAGGGCTTCAAAGCTTAAAACCTTATGTTCTACTCAGAGAGCAAAGAACGAAAGAGAAGAAGAAGAAGATGAAGTAGAACGTGATTGGACTATGGGACTCTAAGTGTGTTTGTGTGTGTGGGTGGGTGTCGCGTTATTCAGAACGACCTGACTGTAAAACTTAAGCTGATTCTGGTCACAGGTATCCTGTTTCAAATGAGATGTTATCCTACTTTAAGCATCGAAGCAAATACAATTCAGTTCACCAGGTTATTTAGCTAAAAATTCGATTTTTCATCTTAAAACATTTTTGTGCTTGTTTATCAGGAAGGTGTATTAAACACTGAACAAAATCATGTGAATTTTAAACGTGGGTGTCGATCATTCACTCACACACACACTCGAGTATTCCTTATAATATAATACACATTTTCGATTCCCAACATCAAGCTTGAACAATATCTTAATAATAATAGACTTATTTTGAATAACGCATTTATACGTGGTACATAATTCTTAGGGATTCAGCCACACGTCTCCATCGCGTTCGGTTCTCTACTAATGTTTCCACCTGGCTCCACGTCTGCCCTCATGCTTTCATCTTCTCTTCGTATGACCTCCTCCATGTCACCCTCGCACTGACGACCAACTAACTCACCATTTCCCATTCGGGTTCCAATCGAGCGATGGCCTGATGGGTGATGTAACTTAATGGTTTTCTCAGAGTATGGACAATCCACCTCTTTTTCTTCCTGCATATTTGTTACACAATCGCTTCCTAGTTGGTTCGCTCCCACAGATCCCTGTTGATCTTTTCTGGTTATCTGATCTTGAGTAGTATTGAGGGGAAGACAGCTGTTGATGAAGGTCTGTAGTTTGTTCGAAGTGCTCTTCGTGATGGGCCAAGTCTCTAATCCATATAGTAAGTAGCACTGGCTTCACATTGGATTTGAAAATTCGGATCTTATTTTTCATGCTGAGTGTTGTTGATCTCCACATAGACTTGGTGAGAGTATTGAAAGTTTGCCTTGCTTTCCCGATCCTCGATTTGATATCCTCATCAGTTCTGTCCACCTGTATTTGAAACGATGCTTCCCAGGTAGGTAGGTATGGGGCTGTTTCTTTCAGATTTCTCCCATTTATGCTGATTGTTGCTGTTGGTATTGACCAGGAATCTTCATCATCACATCTGTTCTCTCTATGTTCACCTGAAGTTCTATCCTACCCTCAAAACGTAAGTGTAATTTACAAATGACATATATGGTTGTTATTACTATTATTGTCATCATTGTATGACCCTATATATTCTACTGATCAAGTGAGATGAACGGTTGAATACGGCTTACACCAACCAGTAATACTTGCACAACCACGTAGAAATGGTCTAAATACCAGACAACCGTATTGATCATTTGGATCCGAACTCATCAATCATGTGTCTGATCTGTCTGACTCACCTCAGAGAACCAAATAAGCTGAAATCACACGAACTCTGACTTGCTTTCCTCACTCTGTTGAAATTTCGCCTCGACGCTAAATTAATTTAAAAGTTTCGAATTATTATTACTATTATTCTGTTATTTCATTTACTACTTATTTTAACTAGGTGGTAGTAATAGCAGCAGTGGCACTGGTGGTCGATAATGGAAGATCGATAAATTATGTAACTGTTCAACTATTGATTCAAACAGAAATTTTCTAGTAATTTAAAAGTTTCTCTTGTTATTAACGACAGTTTGTTAGTATATATGTGATTCATTCTGTTATTGTTCTTCTTGTTATCATTATCACTTTCCTTGTTTTATTTCTTGTTTTAATAAATATGAAAATGAAGGATGCAAATTTGATTTTGTTTATCTGCATATCAGAGAGAGAGAAAAACATCCTTAACTGCACCATTCTCTTGATATTAGCTCTGATCCACTTATTCGATGGATGATTGTTTCAAAGCATCATTCTCCATCTTCTAGTTATTTTCGTGATTTATAGATGAAATGTATACGTTAGAGTGTTTAAAAACAGAGACGACTTGAACTTGACTTAGGTGTCTGTGAATGACATTGACATTATTCGTTACTGTTATGATGCTGGATCCTTTGTCACACGGTCACTGCTTAACTACTGACCAGTGCCCACTTAACTGGTAAAGCAGAACACGAAGAGAATCAACGGGAAAACCAGGTTCATTTATTATGACAAAAGTGACTGTATTTATACAGAAAATAAGGTAGACTGGAAATCAACCAATCAGGTTGAGAGTTGGAATTGTGCAAGCGTCCAATCAGAAGCAAGAACAATTGCATTTCAACTTGACTGAGAGATGATAATGACCTGATAATTGCATGTGTTTTACCTCTTCCTAACAGTTTCTGCGTTTTGGCGTTATCTTTATGCTTTCTTTAACTAAATATATCCTTGAAGAGCCGTAGGTACTGTGCTTTCTGTTCATCGTTTGGGATGGTTTTAAGTTCTGCTTGGCCAACAGGTTTAGGTGGCCCAAACTAGAGTAAGCAAGTAGCAGAGCCAAAGAACTTTAAACTCCATACTATATTTAGCAGTTATCATAATCGTCCTTGTATGCTTGAGTTTTCTATTTTTCTATGAGGACAATTACGATCTACAATATTGTAGAAGACCAATAGTGTTTATGATCCTTTATTTTCAAAAGCACAGCAGACGGCAAGTGAAGCGGTCAAACTAACGGAAGTGCATTCACCACTGAAGAGATGAAGAAAGCCGTAAAAATCAGAAAGAAGATATTGATCCTATTTGGTTGCTCGTTTCCTCCCTCTTAGTTCCTAATCGTTTACAACATCCAAGTGTTCATAGCATAGCAAAAACGGTGTCAAAATCGATAACAGTCTGGTATGGCACTTTCAACAGGAAACGTTAGGATTCAACGAAGATGATAAGTGGCAGTATTACTTACTTCTCGTCGTCAAATGCTATATATGAACACTCTTAACCTGTCCCTTGTGGAAATACCACGTATATTTTACACATTCATGTTGGAGGGATTCTTTAACTGACTTCATAGCCCACAGATGCGCTCAAGAGAAAACTTCTAACATAGCTCCGAAAGGTAGGCCAATGAAAGTGGCATTCTTAGGAAACTCGTTTCTAAAGGGGTGCTGATGTAGGG